AACTAACAGTTTCATTAGCATTAGCCACGCTATACCACATGGCTATTTAAATAAAACACAAACAAAACTGCTTCATTTTTACGTTTTATGCACAAATTGGGATCTTCAATGTCACATTTTTTGTTTTCCCTGTAAAATGTAATGAATATATTCTACACTAGAGCAATATCGCAGGCAGTCTGAACTAAAAGTTTTACTTTCAAGGCTACTGGTGGCGCAAACAGCTGCTGAACAGCTTTTTGACCAAATTTGGAGGAAACATTTTACTGGAAGGCCCCATTAGAATACATTTTTACAGTTACGCTCACAGCCAGTATTAGATGATTCAGAACATCCAAACATGTTTTTTTCCTCCTCAACCCTGAGAAACACAAATTACTCTGCCCACAGAAGAAATCCATAAAAATAAGATGGGTCAAATCATAACAGCTGAAGAGGGTGATGATGGGATTGAATCAAAGAAGCATTCCTTCACATTGTTAAATATCTCGATTTCACTGAGCCTGTTGCTTCTAGCGTCTTTTCCTAAGTAGTTAATAGTGTCTGACTTAGACACTATAATGTCATGGATAAAGCCTGCAAGGAGTAAGTAATTTATTTTAATTAGTGGGAGATAAAAAAGGGTGGGAACTCGTCTCAAAACAGTGCTGAAAAGAGATTCTGCGGCACGGAGATTATCATGTCTAGTTGCATTTGTCATAGTTTGAAAAGCAAAGGACATATTTTTATTTGGAAGTATTTGAACATTCTGACTTAAAAAGAAGTTCAACTACACAGAGAAGAGACATACAATTTACTTACTATTGTCACTAATGTGTTGAGTTATTTGAATAATGCAGGAGTACACGTGTAAAAACTCAATTTCCGCTTTTTATGATTTAATTTATCAATCAAATCAATGTAGTTTTCACCTGTTTAATGCCAAATTATATCTATCAATCTCTCCAGATTCTGAGGGATTATTGTGGAAATTCATGCAAAATCAACAAAAAGTGTAATATTTAACTGGGAGTTTATTGCAGATTTTTCCCAAAAATTGTCAAAAACTTTATTTTTTTTATATTAAACAGATTTTTATTCCAGAAAAACACAAAAAGAATCTAAAAATCCTGGAGGAACTGAAAATATGTTCAATAATAATATTTAATTTTGAGAATTCATTGATATTTTAGTGGTTTTTATCAATATATTCTGGCACTCTGGCCCTTTAAGAGCATTCATGATCCTGATTTGGCCCAAAACGAAAATGAGTTTGACACCGCTGCAGTCGTATGACCTCAAGTGGAAACCAGTCAGTGCCAGATAAATCATTTTAAATGTGCAGCATGCTACATATCTAGCGCTGTTTTGGCATACTTGAGGTTTAACAAATCGAAAATCTGGGAATAAAAAACGCAAAACAGGTGGAAACAGAAATTCAGCGCCAAAATGTTATGGCTGCTCAGCTTGTTCAGCTGGTTTAGCTTTTGCTTCTGTGTTTGGTTGAAGTCGGGCACAAATTAAAATATTTATTTTATTTCAAATTATGTTAGAGCATTTTTTTCCCAATCATGGCATTCTTATTCTCATTCTAAATGGAGAAATGCAAAACAAAAATGAAGCCTAGGTTTGAGGGATTTTTTTTTCAACCGGGTCCAAAACGTGACGCACGTGCAACAAGAATCCGTGTTTATGATGCACGCTCATATGGATACTGTAATTGATTTGTCAACACATGTGGTCAAAGGCTTGGCCATTATCAGAAACTCATTGGTGATGAAAACGAGAGACGATGAAATCTAGGTCAGTTCTTTTTCTTGGAGCTCATCTGGAAAGAATAACTTTGCTCTTTTTAAAGATTTAAGCTGTTTTCAAAATATTTTCAGAGTGAAAAAAAGCTCAAGTACAGCCTGGAAGCAAATGTTTCTGTTTTCACATTATGAAATCAAGTGGAACATTTAAAACGGGTAGCCACAGAAAATATCAGAAGTTTAGAAAAAGGAGATTATCCAAGATTTGGGAAAAAGTTTGAAAGCCAAACATATGAATAGTCATTGCGAAAGAGTAACTTGCGACTGAAACTTTAAACAGTTGGATTTAGCCCTTCTTTCTTTTGCATCTAGTTTGTGCAACATCAAATCTGCAGTCAGCACTTTTTTATATACAGATTAGAGCTTTGGGGAAGACATACTTGATAATGTTATCTATTTAAAGAACAGCTTCATGTTTGTTTTCATTGTGTTCATTTCTCTTCTCTGCTCTATTTTTGCTCATTTTTTTAATTAAAACAAACTCCTGTCTTTAATGAGGATGATAACGTAAATTTGACAAAAAAAATCTGTGATAAACTGCAAGGAGGGACTCTGGAGTGGAAAAGAAACACACTAATGTTGATAGGTTTTACTGGATGTTGCTCCATCAACCCAGTTTCGCTGTAATCTGTCAGCGGTGCTGGAATTCATCCCAGTCAACGAGCAAATTACTCCACCTGCTATCACTTCCTTTCAGCTTGAACGTACGAATCAGGCATTGGTGTTTTTCCAGCGAATACTCAACTTTACTCATCCTCTTTTCGACACCAGAAGGTGACTTACAGCAGGAAGGCGTGTCAAACAATCAAGAATCAGAAAGAAGCCTGAGGCCGGGTCACGACCTGTCGGGTCACGGAAAATTTTGTTCAGCTGTCATTAAATGTTGCTCATCAATTTCCTGTACATTCAACATTTGAATGTTGGCGTTCTATTTGGGTGACAACGTGTAGACACTTGTACTTCACAATTTTTTTTCTTTCTTGTTTCTACCTCTTTGACCTATTTCTTGAGGTCAAGGAACTCAGAAATTTTGAGATTAATCTCAGAACGTTTTGGAAATTTCTGAGTTTCGAAAGTTAACTTTCGCAGCTCAAAATTTCCCCAGGTTTTTCTAGAAAAATTCTGATATATTAATCTACACATTTTTTTGTTTTTTTTCTAGAAGATTTGCAGTTTCTTAAACTCATACATTTTCAAGTTTTTTTCTAGAGAGTTTGAGTTTTTATAGCAACTTTTTGACTCTGAAATGTTATTTATACATTTATTTTTTATTGCGGATGTGGGTGTTTACTCCTGTTTTCTGCCTGAAATGTGTGGTTATTGTATTTTGCAGACTTCCTTTTCATCAGTTCTTATTTTTAAAATTTTCATCAGGTTACTTTTTGCTCAATTTCATTCATGTTTCTTTTTATTGTTGTTTTTCTTTGCTATTTAAAGCACAATTTGTGTTCTAACTTTACTTCAGGGACTCAGCGTTCCTTTTTAAACTCTTCTCCTTTTGAGTGCTTCTTCCCCAGTTTGCATTCAGTTTGTCATTTGGATAAATTTTATACTGTTTATGCTATTTATAATCTATAGAGACAATGTACAACATTTCATTAACCTTTTAAAGTGATCGAAGCAGAGTCACCAGATTATAACAAAACACATACTAATTTCCACCTGCAGGGTGTACAGACCAAAAAGCTGATATCTGCAGAAGCTCAGATTAAGAAATAAACCAGATTGAAATCGCCCTTTTGCTTAACACTTATCCATTGTGATAAATCTTTCGTATAACACAGCAGGCCAGTTAACTATCAAGATACCTGTAGGAGTAAAACTTTCTCCTCCGCAGGCTGAAACAAGTACCTTCAATGAAGAGTCCTGATCCCAGACAGACTCTTTGGCACCAAAGAAGTCAGGTTGACTTTGACCTCAGGACCCCTCAGGGTACCGCTCCATCCTAGGACATCTGAACCGGCCTTCAGCATCATCCAGTTCCTCCATCTCTTTTGAAGCACAAAGCTCTGGAGCTTATTACAGCACACCGACGTGTGTGGGTCTTACAAATCAAGAAGAAAAACTACACAATTTCTTGTTCTTCATATTCTTCAACCCTTTTTATCTATGTCACTCTCTTCTAAATACCTTAAACATTTTCATTCAAAGTAAATTTGGTTGTGATGTGCAGGAGAATGCCATATTGGAGTTCTGGAGAGTGATACGTCACATACAAAGAGGCGATATCTAATATTGTTTGGAGTTCTGGGTTTTCAAATGAGTCTTGGGTTGAGTTTGCTAATTGTTTTTAGTTATTCTAGTCCAGTGTTTTAATTCATGCTTCTTAAGTGTTACGTATAAAGGTTTGTTTATTTATTTATGTTTTTGAGACACCAAATAAAATCTCCTCATGCACTAGGAACATTGGTCATTCCAATAACAAGGAGACCCAAAACATTTGACCCAATAAACTACATAAAACACAACTGTATTGTTCGAAATCAGCCTGGTCTAAAATATAAGAAAAATCTATTGATTTGGAACAGCTTCAACTCAAGAAAAGTGTTGGACATCAATTTTTAGAAAATAATTTGTCCTTTCCCACTAAATAAGAATAAAACATTACAAATCTAACACTCTGTGCAGTAGAGTACTTAATATGCACCAAAATATCAATGAAATCCCTATAATTAAAGCAGGAGTTCAGGTGTTGTGCAGCTCCACCTTGAAAAGCCTCAGGCGTTTCTGCTGTGAACTCACGTTCCAAGTTCCACCTACTGGTGGCACTTGGTACTGCAACTAGGAAATCCCAGAAACTGTCGCTCACCAATCCATTAGAGAACATAATACCAAATTAAAATAAAAATAAAAACCCAAGACATATATTAAATTTGTTTGAACAAAGGTAGAAGATTGACAAACTATATTTTATTGAGATATTTATCAATTGAATCTGATTCTGTGTTCTCTGACTGATTTTTATAAGCTTAATTTCTAATATTAGTAAAAATGTGAGTTCTGAAATATTCAGAGACTTTCTCTGACAGGTGAAAATGCATCAGAGATGCGATGGGAGAGAAAACACAGCAGCATTAAGGGTCTGGTTGCGGCGTACAGACGCAGGTCCCTTGTCCAGTCCCCCTCCTCTCCGTCTCCCTCTGCGCACTAAAAAGGATAAGCTCGTCCCTTTTTCTCTCCTCACCATGATTGGACGAGGCCACGTCTTAGGAAAGGCATCAAACTATTTAAATAACACTTTGTGCTGCCTCGGCTTAAAAAGGGAGTTTTTTAGCGGTGGATACCAGGAGGCACATTTTCAATTAGGCAAAGAGGAAAAAGACGAGCAAAATTTTATTATTCCCCTTTTCACTGTGGATTTTTTACTTCATAAATAAGGACGTTGGAATTAATGCACTTTTAAAACACATTTTCAAGGGATTTTATACTTTTGTAAACTTTTTCTTTCATTAAAGGGAGCAGGTGAGTGTCAAAAATATTCCACAGTTTGCTCAACCTTGACTGAAGTCCTAAATTGTCGGATATTTCAATTTACTTGTGGCAGCAGGTTTGTGCTGCACCATGAAGGTGGCAGGAATAAGTTTGCTCTTGATGCTTTGTTCCTGTGAAGGTGCGAGAGTCGCAGGTGAGCTTTAACTATTTAAATATGAGACTACTCCCATTTTCCAACATTTAGTCTTTTTTGAAAAGTGTTTAGTATTCATGCAGACAAAAGCTGAGTGCTTCTTATTGTTCACCCGCAGAGAGTCGAGACGACAATAGTGTGTTTGACTTGTTTGAGCTCATCCGAGTCCCCAGTAAGAACCACGGGGTCACCCTGGCGAAAGGAGACGACCCGTACAGCCCCGCCTACAAGATCCTCAACCCGGACCTGATCCCCCCCGTGCCCGAGAGCGCCTTCAGGGACCTGATCGACTCGGTCCACGCCGAAAGGGGCTTCCTACTCCTGCTCAACTTCAAGCAGTTTAAACGGACCCGGGGCAGCCTCCTGACCGTGGAGAAGCGAGACGGCTCCGGACCCGTCTTCGAGATCGTCTCCAACGGCAAGGCGAACACGCTGGACATCGTTTACTCCACCGAGAACAAGCAGCAGGTGGTTTCCATCGAGGAGGTGGATCTGGCCACGGGTAGCTGGAAGAACATCACGCTCTTCGTGCAGGAGGACCGGGCGCAGCTATTCGCAGGATGCGAGGAGGTGAACACCGCCGAGCTGGATGCGCCCATCCAGAACATCCTGACGCAAGGCACTCCAGCCGGCGCGCAGCTCCGAGTCGGGAAGGGAGCAGTGAACGACAGGTTCATGGTGAGCGCAGAAGATTGATTCTTACTCCGGAACGCCTTGTGTTTTCTTACGTTTTTAGAAGAAAGAATGCCTGAAACATTGGATTTATGCACACAATTTACGCACACAACTCAGGAACGACGGACTGACCAATTAAGCGTTTCTCAAATATCCAGAACTGATAATCATTTTTCCTTTCTGACATTGATGCTTCTAGGGGGTGCTGCAAAACGTGCGGTTTGTGTTTGGAACAACTCTGGACGCGATTCTGCGCAACAAAGGATGCCAGAGCTGTAAGTAATCGAGTGCAAGAAGCGCAGTGCTCTTCATTATCCGCCAGACTGTGCCAACACAAAGCAGGCAGCTGTCAGTGGGGAGTTGTTGCTCTGGTTGTAATTTACACGCTAATTACTTGGTAAAAGCTTAAAAGTGGTTGACTTGTCTCTGAGGAATTTCAGGGTACAAATCTCTCTAATGTCTTGTGTTTTATCTAATTACATTTGACATTAATTTAAAATGTAACTAGCCTTGACATTAAGCAAGCACACAGAGATAAATGGGGATCTCTTGGAGATTTTATGACTCTTTGCCTTTCAGCTGCTTCAAGTGACACAATGATTGTGACTAACCTGAACGGCTCCTCTGCCATCAGAACAGAGTACTCTGGACACAAAACCAAAGGTAAACTCTATGTAATACTTGGACTTCATCATATTTGTAAGTGAAGCTCTAAAACTGGCAAGACATGGGCTAACCAGCAGTTATAGAAATATGTAAAATAAAAACGTATGACATGATCTGACTGATCTTAAAATGACATATGACAAAAGTGTGACAATTGTTATGAACTGGTAGCAGTTGGCATGCCGCTAGAAGCTTCCCAACATTTTATAACAAATTTACTTTAGTTCTAACGATGGGTGGTGCTCCCTTAACTTTTACATCATGGCTGTCCTTATTTTTATGGACCTTTTTTCTTACATAAAAGCAAGGAAAAAGATTTAGAAGCTTACTTTAGGCCAGCTAACCAGAAGTGTACATCAAGAATTTCAACAGCTTTAAAACAAGAACTTTGATATACCTTGTCATCTGTCTGCGACAGACTCACCTAAACTGTGTTTTTTAAGACCTGCAGATGGTGTGTGGTTTCTCCTGTGAGGATCTGGTCAGCATGTTCAAGGAGCTGAAAGGCCTCGGTGTCGTGGTAAAGGAGCTGTCCAATGAGCTCCGCCAACTGGTAAGGATGAGACGTCAGCATTTTAGGTTTTTCACGTAATTAACGGGAGCAGTTTGCCTCTATAAATGTATCAGAGTGAGACAAACGGTTGTTTTTCACATGTGCTACAAACAGTTTAATCCGTTACCACTTCAGTGGCTTTTAGGATAACGTGAAGACAGTTTTAGATCCTGTGCAACGTTATTAATTGAGTTTGTTGGTTAACTGTTCCAGACCGAACAGTGATGACCCAGCCAAATTTGCAGGAACTCTGCGATACTTTGTATTATCAGAAAAATTGCAACGGTTTCTGCCAATATCAGGTTATTATGGTAATTTCACCCCCACTGTAGCAGGGACACTCTTTTAGTAGACGGTAAATTGCGAAAATAACTTGCTAGATATCGAAAGTTCCAGTTGTTATGGATAAATGGGCAGATATATTTACTCACAGGACATTTAAAGAACTCAGTACAATTAAAATAAGCAAAAATATGCAAGTGAAGATTTAAAACTTAGGTCTAAAATGGTTAATTCACAACTTGTGTCATGCTATGTTCGTGTATATAAATTGCAGTATCATCTGCCTAGAGTTTGAACTTACAAATGATATAGTAATAATATAAACCATAAATTGTCTCTCTTATCCACAGGATTCCATTTAAGGGTATGCATGTTGGGTTACTGTCTCTCTGCTAGATTTGGTTTAGTTTCTATAAATGAAACATTTGTGATTACCCATGCTAACTATATTCTTAGTATTCAGCACTTAGTCTACTTATATAATCTCAAAACTCATTACATCACTGCATCTTTCTCTTTTCCACAATGGCAGACAAATGAGAACAAGCTTATTAAGAACCGGATTGGCATTCATAGTGGCGTCTGCATCCACAACGGCATTGTGCGCAAGAACAAAGACGAATGGACTGTCGATGACTGCACTGAGTGCACTTGTCAGGTGAAACCCTTCCCCCCAGTGACCTACCATTTGAGTCTGCTGCATGCTAAACTGTCACACAAATATGAAGGGTTTATACCTGTACACAAACTCTTAAACTAAGACAATACAGATTGAATGAGGAGCACTTAATCATCACCTGAGCTGCTCGTGTAAGTAATTAGTAGTTTTTGCAGAAGGTAGACGGTCTTTGGTGTAGTAATGAAATGTCTCTTGTCAGACATTCAGCAGGAGTGTAGCCCTTGGGGACTCTAACAGACTTTAAGTGATGTCCATAATTAGGATCAAGACCTTGGATCTGACAAAGGGGGATACTTGGCAAGAAACCTTTTGACAATTCAAACCTATGGGCAGTTTTTTCTCTCCTATTTCTCTCTATTTCCACATTTTTTCCTGCCAGTAATCAAATCCAGGAGGGTGAGCATTAGCATGCAAACCTATGGAGCAGTTGTGAGCCCAGACTCACTTATGGTGTTGTGCTAGAAGGCAATATTTAGTTATTTGTACCCCTGGATCTTTAAAGGAACTAATATGAGACTGATTTTGTTCAGGATTTTGAGCTTATTCCAACCCTCTCCTGACCCAGAGGGCAGGTGGTTATCTGCAGGGGGTATGAACTCCCTGCCAGGGCTCCGTGTTTTAACATTTCCGGCATGGTTGATTCGACCTAGGGATGTAATGTGTTGGTTGCACGATAAAACACATAAATTGACCTTTTACTCACGCACAATATGAGTGAAAAGACTCAATGCAACCTCTGAACAGTGATCTGTGCAAGAGCAGATAAGTTGAAGCACAAATTTAAACACTGAAGTGCAAGTTAGTGTCAATCACATTTTACTTAATGATGTGGTGCCTGTTATGACGGCCTTGTCAGTCATTAGGGGGCAGATACAAGTTTGTAGAGTCAAATTCTTGTCAAAGTTTTCCCCTTAATCTCCTACCCACTAATCTGATTATGAGTTTTCTGTGTGCAGAACTCTGCCACCGTGTGCCGCAAAATCTCCTGCCCTCTGATCCCGTGTGCCAACGCTACCGTCCCCGATGGCGAATGCTGTCCTCGTTGTGGAACACGTAAGAATTAATTTCTGTGTATGTAAATAAATGCACACTATATGTTTGTATATATACAGTTTAGCTAACAGAAGATGCATTCCAACAATGCCACATTCACTGAAAGACCCATTTGTGTTTGCTTTAGCCACAAAAATGTCCAGGATAAAGCGCTTTATCTTTAAGAGAAGGCTTTCTAACTTTTAAGATAATTTGACTGCTAAAAAAATAGCAGTTGATGTGAAAAAGGGGCTAATGTGGTTTGGCACTTTGAGCTCTAAAATATTTTACCATTTTGCAGTGGTAAAGGTGGACTGAAAGATTTAATGTCACCAAAAACACTAAATCTTACCAAATATTTTTGGTGCAAATATCTTAGCACACTTGAAATAAGACAATTAACTTACCAGAAACTTTTCAGCAAGCAATAGGGGGTTGTTTTAAGTAAATAATTCCTTAATATCAATGAAAAAGTACAAGTTATTTCACATTTAATAAGACTTTTTTCATATTTACTTGCTGAAAACTTCCTTGTAAGTTAGTTTTGTTTTTTTCCAACTGTACCAAGACATTTTCACTAAAACTAGACAAAAAAACTTGGTAAGATGTTGTGTTTTTGCAATGTTTTACTTCATTATGAGTACATTCAACTTTTCTGTTTTCCTGGCTTATCTCAGAGTGTTAGTCATCTGCCTTAGCTTTAAACAGAAAACGTTTTCTGCACTTCATTCCCAGCTAAATCTCCTCTATTAGTCCTCCACTTGAGGAGCTTGCCCTCTTTGTTTATGCTCAGGGGTGTTTTAAAAAGGCTTGCTGCCTCTCTGGAATACCATTTTAATTGTTTCCCTCTTTTTCGTATTCTCTCCCGCTCCCTCCCTTTGCGCAGCGAGTGACTATGCCGAGGACGGCTGGTCGCCCTGGTCTGAATGGACTCATTGTTCTGTGTCTTGTGGGCGGGGCATCCAGCAGCGTGGGCGCTCTTGCGACCGTATCAATAATATCTGCGAGGGCACCTCGGTGCAAACCCGCGACTGCTACCTCCAGGAGTGTGACAAGCGCTGTGAGTAACAAATATATCACTTACTGGAAGCTTTGGAGTTTTTTTTTTGTTATCTGTAAGACATAATTAGCTTTAGTTATTAATCTAGAACATTACTTCCTGCCTGTTGACCTATGACCTCTTTTTTTCAAATCTTCAGTCAAGCAGGACGGAAACTGGAGTCATTGGTCACCCTGGTCGTCGTGCTCCGTCACCTGTGGTTCTGGTGTCATCACTCGTATCCGCCTCTGCAACTCCCCCACCCCTCAGCTGGGAGGCAGGGACTGTGTGGGAGAGGGCCGACAAACTGAGAAGTGCGAGAAGTCTCCATGTCCCAGTGAGTTTTAACATCTCTCATTAGCCACATTTTCTCACAAATGTGCACAAATCTTTGTCAACAGCAGCAACGGATGTAAACAGTTACATGAGATATATTTATAATTCAGTCATGGCGCTAGTGTTCATCATCACCATCAATCATCAAAGGAGACGTCGGCGTCTTATTCGGCGTTGGAGCGACAAACCCCTTAATCCACGTGTCAAACTCAAGTCCCACCATAACTTTTTATGTGGCCCTCTGGATTCTAAACACTGTTATTAAATATTATGTTACCAATCAAATCAATGCAGTTTTTATCTGTTTACTGCCAAATTATATCATTCAGTCCCTGCAGTTTCTTGAGAATTATCGTGGAAATTCAACAAAAAAAATCAACAAATTCCTGCTCTTTTTTGCACTAATAGATAATTGGGAATTTATTGCAAATTTTTCTCAAAAATTGTCAAAAATGTACTAAACAGCTGCCTCAGCCTTAACTGAAGTCATATTATAGGACAGCGAGTAATAAAAAGTCAAATTTACTGTCATAAATAAGTTCAAATATTTCCAAATTAGCACCATAAAATGTTTTATTTTTATTCCCAAAAAATCACAAAAAGAATCAGAAAATCCTGGAGAGACTGAAAAGACGTTCAAAATTATATTTAATTTTAAGGATTTGTTGATACTTAACAGTTTGTGAACAGTTTTAATCAATACATTCTGGCACAACAGGCCCTTTAAGAGCATTCTGGATCTGGATTTGGCCTAAAACAAACAAACAAACAAAAAAAACGCTGCCTTACACATATGCAACGTTTTGGGGAAACTGTAGTCAATTTTACAGAAGAGTAAAGGATTCAACACGTTCGAATGACGCACAACTTTTCATGAATTGTGCGATTTAGTGAGGCAGAAAAAAAAATCCTCCAACTTCCTGTTGTCTTCTTTGTGGTTTTCCTCAGTAGTAACATCCAGCTGTTAGTCATGTGACTTTTGTGATGCGAAAAAAGTATTTCCTTTGCAGTTTTGCAAAATACATCTATTTCAGTATGGCTGAAAAAACACCTCATCATGGTGCAATTTTTTTTTCTTTTATCACAACCCATGAGTTTTTTTTTTTTAATTTTAAGCAAATTTCTTCTTGTTATTTCATCTTGCGCAATGTTATGCTACTGACTGTAGCTGTGTTTCTGGATTTTGCAGCAAGGGTAGAAACTGAACATGATTTCCTCTCTCCAGTTAACGGGAACTGGGGACCCTGGTCACCATGGGGTACGTGCACCCTCACCTGTGGGGGTGGAGTTCAAACTCGTAAGCGCCTGTGCAATGATCCTGCCCCACTGCATGGTGGTAAAGAGTGTGTTGGCGATGCCATAGACAAACAGATGTGCAATAAAAAAGCTTGCCCAATAGGTGAGTCATTTTAAAGCCCACTGTTGGTTGAGTTTTTATTTTTCACTTAAGCATTCTTAAGATTAAAAACAGATTATTGTTGTTGTTGTTTTCAGATGGATGCTTGTCCAACCCTTGCTTTTCTGGAGCCAAGTGCACTAGTTTCCCTGACGGTTCCTGGAAGTGTGGGAAGTGCCCAGTTGGCTTCACAGGAAATGGCGTAAAGTGCAGAGATGTTGATGAGGTATGAGTTCATGATTACAGAGCAAATGTGATTACCCTGGAAAAATAGTAAGGATTTTTATTTAACCACAAAAACAGTGCAAGGAGGTTCCAGATGCGTGCTTTGAGTTTAACGGTGTGCACCGCTGTGAGAACACAGATCCAGGATACAACTGTCTGCCCTGCCCTCCTCGCTACTCAGGACCCCAACCGTTTGGCAAAGGTGTTGAGGAAGCTGTTGCTAACAAACAGGCAAGTGCACACCTGGCCTTTCTGTTATATTTATGAACCTCTACAAACTATTTCTAGTTATTGTTATTGGTCGCCCTGACATTGTCCTGCTGCATCAGGCAAGAGTAACTTATTTTGCTATGAAGACACTTTCATTCTTTTTTCTAAACTTTTAATCGCTCGGTCTATGGAATACAAAATCATTAATAACTGTTTGAAACAAGTGGAGCATTTGAAAACCAATTTAAGACAATTTTCATCAGTACAGACAGAAAGTCTGCATAATGTATTCTGAAATTGAGTAATGATCAGTCATTTCTGCATCTTTATTTCAGTAACGTGTAACACAGTATGTAGATTAATTACAGTCAGGCTGACGTTTACAAGCATTTATCTCTGTTGTTAATTATGATGATTTTGCACTTACAGCTAAGGAAAATATATGATTTTAAAAATGAGAGCGTTTCTACTCATAAATTGGGTCTTAATGGAAAGTATATTTAATAATTGCTCATTTAATCTGACAAATGAGCCTAATTGGAATGCAAGACATATTAGGAGTTTTTCAATGTTTAAATAAACTGTGACAAGCTGATTTATGTTGTGAATGAACTATGTGGGACATATAATAGAGTGATGTAAAATGTAATGACTTAGAATGGTATAATTTGTCTGATTGCTTCTTGTTTAAACTGTTCAATCTACAGGTGTGCACACCCCGTAATCCTTGCCTTGATGGAAGCCATGACTGCAACAAAAACGCTCGCTGCAACTACCTCGGACACTTTTCCGACCCCATGTTCCGCTGTGAGTGCAAGCCTGGATATGCTGGCAATGGTCATATCTGTGGAGAGGACACGGATTTGGACGGATGGCCCAATGCTGATCTAGTATGTGTGGAGAATGCCACCTACCACTGTAAAAAGGTTTGTCAGAGTTGGGATGAAACGATAAAATTACGCGTAAAGTTGCCTTCCAGCAGCCCGTCTGAACATATTTCTCGTCATTCAGGACAACTGTCCCAATCTTCCAAACTCAGGGCAGGAAGATTATGATAAGGATGGAACTGGAGATGCTTGTGACGATGATGATGACAATGATGGTATTCCTGATGACAGGGTTAGTATTTTTGTTCTGGTATCTTAACTGTCATGCACCTCAAAAGCTGAGGTGGGGCAGGAAAGCAAATGTTTTTCACTGATTCTCAGCCAAAACCATAAATACCGAAGCTAAGGCAGCGAGCAAAGGCACCTGCATTGTTTGACACTAATCCCAACATTAGAACAGAGCCTGACAATAAAGCAGCTTTCATCCTGCTCTGCTTGTGCCGTGTACATATAGACAGGTCCAGACAGCAAAAGATAAGCACTGCGACTGAAAACTTGTCATCAGCTCCTCATTTTGTCTTTGTGAAACAGGACAACTGTCCATTCGTGTACAATCCCAGGCAGTATGATTATGACCGCGATGAAGTGGGGGATCGCTGTGACAACTGCCCTTACAATAGCAACCCAGACCAGACAGACACAGACAACAACGGCGAGGGAGACGCCTGTGCTGTGGACATCGATGGAGATGGTAGGCCTTCAAATTTTTTCTATAGAAACCCCTAAAAACGTTACTTTGGTGTTTCTAATCCTTAAGGTTTTATTGTTGATTGCCAGGAATACTGAATGAGAAGGACAACTGTCCCTATATATACAACGTTGACCAGAGAGACACAGATCTGGACGGAGTGGGAGACATGTGTGATAACTGTCCACTGGAACATAATCCCGATCAGGTGTGTGGACACAGACGCAAACACCCTTCCCCATTTCCTTCCGCCTCAGCCACCAACAATAATCCACATTCAAATCCAAGCCTTTCTCTTTAGCTCAGCATATATCTGTCTTTCAATTGAGAGAGAGCCCCGGCGATTAGCCCTGTGTGGCTGTCTAAGCTTTATCACGCCATGTAATGGTGGAGCAAATCCCACATGCAGCTCAAGGGCACATTAGTTCAATAAGGCGTGGTAGAAGGGGGCGGGAGTGCTTTTTCAATGGCCCATTGACGTTGGCTGGCTAATGTGAGGGAAGAGGCCCTAGGCTGGATATTATGAAGGAATTGGCTGGTCCTGGGGTATGTGCATGCCATGTCAATTTAGCACAGGCCTGCTCAGTCCACCTGTGCCATGCTACACTGAGAAATAGGAATGTGTTGAACAGCAGGAATTGGGCAGAGGGTTGGGGGAATGATAGGGTGTGTCAAAGTGTTTTTTTTACAAGCAAATTGCATGCTGCTTTAAACGATTAGAAGAAACCACTACTACTCTCAAATTTATGAAACAAGTAGAGCTGCAACTAACAATTATTTTAGTTATCAATCAAGCAATCTAATTATTCTGATGATTAATTGATTCATCGGCCAAAAAATTGGCAGATTTTGCACATTTTTCAGCTAAGCCTTTTTTACGCAGTAGTAGAAATCTCTTAAAAGATGCAAATAAATAGTTCAATTCCTTTTTTTTAATCCAAAATATTAGCATTCCTTTGATGTACACTTGATTGTTTGGGGCAAAGGACGCTTCTGCAGCTAAAAAATACTTGGAAAAGTACTAATACAAAAGTTGCTGAACGGATTATTTGTTAAAGAATTTGGACCAGCTTCAACTAGTTTTAGCTTCACAACACATAAAGCTAAAACTCGCTAGTTAGGTTGTTACCTAACTAGCTTCTAGATGAAGCTAGTTTTAGCTTTATGTTTTAGACAAAGATTTTTATTATCTTAAATTCAAAATGTATATATTGTTTGTATAAGTTTGAATTAATTATTGCTCCGAGTGTTTTTTCAGAAATTGGCCCTTTTTTGAGTTTGTATATTCAAGTTAATGTTTAATCCATTTCTAACTTACCTGACGACTATTTTAATAGTCGATTCACAACGATTAAGCCAGTTAATTATTTTAGCCCTATCAGCAATGCCATTGAACGTTGATTCTAATCTCAACAAAACACAAGACAAATCAGTTGAAATGCTCATGTTATTCTATCCAGTCTAAACCCGTATTATGCTGTAATATAGATTATTTAACATTAACTGATTGCAGGTGGATTCAGATGACGATAGAGTGGGAGACAAGTGTGACAGTAACCAGGACATCGATGAGGACGGACACCAGAACAACCTGGACAATTGCCCATATATTCCCAATGCCAACCAGGCTGATCACGATAAGGATGGCAAGGGAGATGCCTGTGACCATGATGACGACAACGATGGCATCCCTGATGACAAAGACAACTGTAGACTGGCCTTCAACCCCGACCAGCTGGATTCTGATGGTAAGAACATTCTGAAATACATCCCACAGTGTGCAAGTACTTCTGGAAAAACATTCTTAACTTACACTTCATTTCTCAGGCGATGGTCGTGGAGATGCTTGCAAAGACGACTTTGACCAAGACAACGTTCCTGATATCTATGATGTTTGTCCTGAGAACTTTGATATCAGTGAGACAGACTTCCGCAAGTTCCAGATGGTTCCTCTGGATCCAAAAGGCACCTCCCAGATCGATCCTAACTGGGTTGTCCGGCATCAAGGCAAAGAGCTGGTTCAGACCGTCAACTGCGATCCTGGCATTGCAGTCGGTATGTTAGTTTAGTGTTTATTTTATTTCTCTTAAGCCTTCTGGCCAAAAAATGGAATTAGAAAAAGTCATCCAGTCATTGCATTTGTCTTTTTTAATGAAGAACTTCATGAAAACGTTTTCTCTGGCCCCTTTTCTTCAACAGGTTACCACGAATTCAACGCCGTGGACTTCAGTGGAACTTTCTTCATAAACACAGAGAGAGATGACGATTATGCTGGCTTTGTGTTCGGCTACCAATCCAGTTCCAGGTTCTATGTCGTGATGTGGAAGCAGATCACACAGACCTACTGGTCCAGTAAACCCACCAAGGCCCAGGGATACTCAGGTCTGTCCATCAAAGTAGTTAACTCCACCACCGGCCCAGGAGAGCACCTCAGAAATGCTCTCTGGCACACAGGCAACACCGCAGGACAGGTAGGCCAAATTTAAAGTTGTATATATCTATATATATATATATATATATATCTATATATATATATAGATATATATATATGGATGGACGGACGGACGGACGGACGGACGGACGGACGGACGGACGGACGGACGGACGGACGGACGGACGGACGGACGGCCTAAACTGCAGATCCTCTTTTCTCGGTTATTAGGTCCGTACTCTCTGGCATGACCCTAAAAATGTCGGCTGGAAAGACTTCACTGCCTACAGGTGGCATCTGATTCACAGGCCAAGAACAGGATTGATCAGGTGGGAACAATAAAACACTTTACAGCTTTTTATTATACATGAACTCCCATCTTTGAACTTGTTTGGTCGTATTTGTCTTTTCACAGAGTTGTGATGTATGAGGGTAAGAAGATCATGGCAGATTCTGGTAGCATCTATGACAAGACGTATGCAGGTGGCAGGCTAGGTCTTTTTGTCTTCTCACAGGAAATGGTTTATTTCTCAGACCTCAAGTATGAATGCAGAGGTGGGTAATATCAAAGAAAGTGTAAAGATTCCGCTAAACACTGGAAATGCATCTGCTAAGTCCTGTTATTGTCTTCTATTTTTCAACAGATGCATAAAATGATGGTCAAACTCTGAGGAATGCACCTTTTTTTGTAAAGTAAGAACATATTTTCTCCTGCAAAGTCCAGGAGCTGATTTATTTCTGCATTACTTTTCTTCCGTGGCACGCACTCTTGGATGGGGCGAAGGGCGTACTGTTAGCCTCAGGGTAACCTGAAGTTGGTTTGGGCAAAGCACCAGCTAGCCAACTTCCGGTTGAGGATCAGAGGTCAAGGGGAGCTGAAAAGACTCTGACTTTGCAAGATGAACACCAACATTGGGAAAGGTTCCTCAGAAAACAATGCACTTCACTTCAATGTCTTTTCATTACTCTGTATCTTGTCTTCAGCCCGTGTGCCTCACTTTTTGGATAGACATCCCAAAGAAAAAACATATACTCTCTGTTCTTTACCAGACTACTCTTTGTATGATTTGTGAATGATACTTTTGAGGATTCAAAGAATGAACACAGCACACTTTAGGACTTGAAATGATTTAAGGGGAATGTTAAGTTGCAGGAGGTATGTGTTTATTCATGAACAGTGTGCGTGGAAAATTAGCCATGAATGGATAAAGAGAATCCTTCACCTGCCTACCTAAGAAACTCTGTTGAGTAGAGAAATTAAGTTTTGCTTAGTTCTAGTTAAAACAGAAGAACCACAAGCTGATGTCTGAATTTTTGACTCAGGATAAGATGGAAGTGACGCTCTTCCGATATTAAACCAATGAGAAAAATCTAATTGCCTGGTATCAAAAAGCCATGATCAATTTTAAAATGACCATTTAGTCACTGAAGAGATTTCTGTCCCTCAACTTTTGAGGATTTCAAGATGAAATGATGTAAATACATCTAGCTTATCGACTCTTGCCTACAATGTAGGCAGCGAAAAGAAGTAGTACTAAAATGAGTAAAACTCCTAATAAGTGTCTTTGTTCTAGTAAAAGCTGATTTACAAGGTGAATTCGGTATTCCTCAGAACTTTTTTTAATATGAAGTTGGTGTGATTTTTATACCTTTTCTGCAGAGAGAGATGACATTTTTAATGTACAATTATTACCTCATTGCTGTTTATAATCTGATAAAACAAAACAATGCTTTTTCACAATCTTCTGAAATGTTGGACATTCTAGTGCTACCCTAGCATAAGCTGTAAATAGTTTTTGTATCTAAGAAGCAGAGCAGAGTTCCCAGGGCCAAGGTGTACCCCAGTAAAAATGGGAGATTTTTAGATATTTGCTTTGCCACATATTTTCAGTGCTATTTTTAGCAAATAAATTATTGTTTTGTTTGTCCTAGCTGTTTGTGAGAGCTTGATTTGTGTGTGCGTATAGATACATGCTATTTAAATAATTTATCAGGATGTGAGATCTTGTAAAAGGGGACATGTCCGTCTGTATAAACAGTTTGCACACTGACGCGAGGATGTTCTGTTCTTTATTGTTTTTCTTTCTTTTGTTGTTGTGTATCTGTTTATATTATTAGTTTTGTCTGTAAACATTTTCTTAGTTGTATAAAGCAAAATGATGTTTTTATTCGCTGCAAATTTTTTGTTACCAACTTTAGAAAATAAATAGTTGTTAAAATGTAAGTCTACATGGACTTATGTTTTGTTTCGGTATTAAATATTCACCTACAATGTATACACCCCTGGAAAAAATCAAGAAACCACTTAAAATGATCAGATTCTCTGATTTTACTTTTTATAGGTTTATGTTTGAGTAAAATTAACATTGTTATTTTATTCTATGAGCTACTGACAACATGTTTCTGAAATTACAAGCAAAAATTTAGCATATATTTCCAGAATATGAGAAATGTTGAGCTTTCAGACCTCAAATAATGCAAAGAAAACAAGTTCATATTAGTTTAGAAACAACAATACCAATGTTTTAACTCAGGAAGAGTTCAGGAATCAATATTTGGTGGAATAACCAAAAAATTTTCTTAATTTTTTTCTGAGAGCTGTATATATAGCATATAACTAGTTCAATAAATGTCAGCCTATGAACTAAATCTGAAACGACATCGTTGATTTCCAGTGAGTTAGAATAACATCTATGTCAGCTTACACAACAATCCAAAAAAACTGCTGACAATTTATCAATCAGAACCAAAAACATAGCAAATATACATTTCATTTTGGCAGCTGATGGTCTTATTAGTCAAAGGAACATCCATATTGTAAAACATAAGATTACTTTGTTTGTATCACAAACAAATTTGTTGAACTTTACTACAACTTAATCATGACTAAGAGTAATCTTTTCAGCTGCTTTAGAGTAAAACAAGGAGGAGACAAGAAGAAAAGCATCTACTTAAATGTAAGTAGTTGGGAGGATCCGTCTTTCTCATTCAAAGAACAGTATTTTCTGAAGCAGCAGAAGATACTGTTCTTCTGGCAAAAAGCGATTACGCTGAGTATTTCACAGTGTTTGATCTGGAAAAAGTGGCACTGGTAATAAAAGCCATTCATCATGATGCTTATCATGTTTTATGATGCATAAGCATAGCAAAAAGTTGTTCTAACAGGGACTAAAAAAATATTTTTGAATTCGAAACAACAGTTGACAACTTTTTCTTGATATATTCTTTTAATCAGTAAGTTATTGACTAAAGAGTTCTAGTGGATTTATAGAATTTACCAGCTATTCCCAGTTTTTGCAAAAAGTTTAAACGGTAAAATCTCTGTGTTGACTTAAAATAATTTCTGAATCCCAAAGAATGTGCACAGATATACTGCTCTGGAAAAAACTAAGAGCCCACGGCACCGAACCTCCTGGTCATTCCTCCAAATGTCGATTTCTGAACTCTTCCTGAGTTAAATATCAGCATTGTTGTTTCTAAATTAATTTGAACTTGTTTTCTTTGCATCATTTGAGGTCTGAAAGCACTGCATCTTTATTATTATTTTGACCATTTCTCATTTTCTGCTAATAAATACAAACTTTTTGCTTGTAATTTTAGAAAAGTATTTACTTCTTTAGTGTGAGAAGATATTTTTTATGTTACTGCTTATTTATTTATGCAGAGACAATGTACAACATTACATTAACATTTAAAAGGAGAGAGGCATGGATCCTGTTGTATTTTTTTTTGTTTAATTTAATTGCTAAAGCAGAAACTGTTTAGTGCACAAAGACTATGCACCTGCAAAAAAAGAAATGGTTTATTTAATTCCTGCAGGAGAAACCATGTGGACCACCATCAGGTGGAAACGGCCAATCTCCTCAAACCTCACAATTAAAATCTGAAATACTTTATTCATATTCCACCAACCAACGACGGTCTGATTTATGCTGAATCCCAGTGAAAATAGTGTTTTATTAATATACTTTCCGACAATCGCCTTCTGTAAAAACAAGGGGTTTTGTATAACATCTGAACATACAGTTTTTGAGACTTGAATTAGAAAAGAATAACATTTTCTAAGACAATAAAGCTGTGACCAGCATAAGTCTGGAATGTGGTTTGGTAGATGTTTTTCTACTAACCTACATTTACAGGTTGATTCTGTAAATTCTGGTAAGCTGGTTATCAAAATTTTTATGAAAATATCCACCTTTCAAGCTTTCAAGCATTCCATACAGAAAAAGGTGAGTTTTAAGATCAGAGGTCCCAAATCCAACCTTTCACACAAACCTAGGCAAGTTATTTTATCTTTTTAAATCACTGCAATCTTTGCATTTACAAAACAAAGACATTATTCTTTTAATTGCGTGACATAATTACCACATAATCGCAAAAACACCTTGGCTGCTTCTCTGTAATTACCTTCCGTAATCTGTCATGAAAAACTGTGAATCTCCCAAGAGAACAAAACAGTTCCTGTGATTGTTGGCAAGAGTGTCGGGATTCCTGACAAGTGTGTGCGCTGACCTTTGACTTCTACACAATATGTCAAATGTGGTACAATGAGTGAATTATACAAAGAAATAATTTTTTCTAGCAGAAGTTAAACTTTTTTTTATTTTAGTGAGTTAGGAATGTGCTAAGGACTTTACCTGAATTAACTTATTTATATTGTCTATATTTGCCTTAAAAAGAATAGCAAACAGCACGTTCTATGGTAAAGTACAATGTTCAGTGTTCAACCGAGACAACAGCTGAGAGGAATGGGCCAAAATCCTGTTTGTTTGCTATTCATTAGCTGGGCTGGCAGCTGATGAGAGAAGCAGTGGCTTTTAATTTCGCGAAGGGAGCACGCCCTGCTGCTGCTCCGTGGCTTCTGTTTATCTGCCAACCTGTAATTCCTTCTGGCCCCGCTCTTGTGTCGAGTTACAAACTCGGCTTCAAAAAGAGCGCGTCTGCCACAGCAAAGTCACTGTGTGCCCATTTAGAATACCTCATCTCTGTGAGCAAGTGCAACAGAACCATGCATTAACATCACTGTAAAACCACAGGTCTGCTAATGACTGTAGGAGCTAGCAGGCCAGCTGCAAGTGGTTTACAATGATTTTAGACCGCTATGTTCGCAGTGCATATTTCTGTTAATCCTATTGTAAGTTATTTTTATCAGCAAACTTGTAAAACATGTTTGCCAATGTGATCGTAACATTCTCTTAATCCAGTGTTTCTCAGTTATTTTCTGTCATAACTTTTTTCACGGCCTCCGAATTGAAATACTAATGGAAATCTGATCATAATGAATAATTTATCTGTACAAATAAATCACAGGCTCCAGCATTGTATGACCTGATTATCAAAACGGTCTCAAAACAATTTCTAAGTTTATTAAGTCATTAAGTTAATTAAAGCCTGAAAGAGAAAAAGTGCAAATCATGATATGTGAGTGTTGATTTTTCAGCTTATTGTGTTTCACAAAGCATATAGTTTAACTTTCATTGTGCAAAATGTAGAGCCATATTGCTAATACTTATTTCTTTCTGGCCTTTTTCTGAAAGCTATTTGTTTGCGATGGAAATCTGAGTTTTTTGGTTTGCGTTTTAAATACAGGTAAAGTTGTATAAGAATAAAGTCGTAATTTTGACACTATTTGAGAAGTACTGTCTTCTGAGACAGTACTGCTTGTTCTAAATTAAAACATTGGACAAAAAAAAAAATCACTCAGAGACCACAAATAACACATAACATTAAAATTTATTCGATCTGATGATTATTATACACCAAACTATCTATTGTTTTTTGGCAATAAGCTGATAATTTTTGGTGTCTGGAAAACGAGCAATTTCAAAGAACTTCTTTATGTAACCTCACAAATCAGCAGACAAATGCCCCTCACCTAACAGCTCCAATAAAGCCCAATCCGTTAGCTAGCAACTCCAGCGGAGCTCCAGCACGTTTAGACAGCAGGTTTTACCGCTCTATGTGCTGTACAATGGCTGCTGGAAAACAGAAGTGTTTTACTCTTGAGTTGCCATTCAGAAACCACTTGCTGCATTCTTGTTGGCTGTGCGGGCGGTTCTACTTCTGCTTTTCAAAGATGTACAGTAGCATAATTGCACATCTGTTTGCAGCCATTTTCACCTGTGAGTGTAAATGTTGCGTTGGGGGCGTGGCCAGCAGCAGCTTATTTTGATTTAAAGTGACAAGACGCCCTAAAGCTTCTTGTTCTGAAAACATGTCACAGTAGGCAGAACTGAATAGACTAAAATCTCACTAAGAATGATTTTGTGCAAAAAATGTTTTGCACATAGCCCACAAATCTAGCCTAAGCTGTTAAATGCGTAATCTATGCAAAATAAATCTCGTTCAAACATCTATGATAACTCGTTCCTCACTATAAACATAACATGACTATCTTTAATAAAGTGGAACAATGAGTAGTTCAAGATTTACATGTCCAATAAAGATCGAATAGTTAGGATGAAAACAAAAATAGAAGTCATCTGCGAAAACTAATGTGACTGAAGGTTTGAGTCAACTCTGTCTTGATTTAAAGTTTGATTTTCATACAAAGAATGTGTCTACACTACAGGATGTATAATATAGTATTTGAAGTGAAATCTTCCACCTTTCACTCTCAACACAAAGGTGTGAAATATGGATGGTTGTGGTAGACAGATGTCCACACACACTACATGTGCTTTTTGCAGACCAGGTTTCATTAGACGTGGGGATTTCATCAGATGTAAACAGCTAAGACAAACACCTGTGTCCCTTCTGTCCTTCGCTGAACAGAGCCTGACGTAAGTCGATGTTGACATTTCAATGAACTGACACGGGATGGTTTAGATTTGGAAGCTTGTACAAGAACTGGCTACACTGAAAGTAGGTCGACAGAGTCACGAATGACCCAGAAACCTATTTTTGTGTTTGCCAGTATCAAATTTTTCTTATATGCAAGAAATTGGCGGATCGATTGACACAAAAAAAAAAAAATCAATTGTAAGACTGGATTCACTTTGCAAGAGCATGTGCGACCAGGAACATCATGTTCCAATATTAGTTCATCTGTTTATGTCTGTTTTGAAGAGCAAACTTTTCCAACTGCTTGTAGGTCAAAAAGGAATATAAAACAAATTTGAACCAAGTTGTATCTCACTACGAACCCTTTGGTGACACCTTTGAGCCAAAAGACCTTCGTAAACAGATCACAGAGGACATGAGTGTGATTTGGGTGGACATATG